AAACCTAATTTTTAAATTTTTCGACTTAAAAATCAAACATACAAATTCATAAACGAATTACAAATCAGATTAAACAATAAATCAGATTTTAGTATAAACATACAAATTTTTAAAATGGTGACCAAAATCATAATCTTGATATCAATCTAATATTTTCAAATTTAAATATCAGTTCTTAAAATCAATATCATTTTATTATGTCAAAAAGAAAAACTTTAAATTTAAATTATAAACTACAAAATATAAAGTTTTATATAAGATATAACAAAGAAAAGTTACTTACAAAACAAATTATCAAATAGTGAAGACAAAAACAAAAATAGAAAAAAAAAAAAATTTCTGACCAATAAGATTCAAGTACATGGATCACACTTCCTAACCATTGGATTAACTTAGATCTAAAGGTTGAGATTTATTCATTTTATTTTTTTTATTTTTTCCTCCCTCTCTCTCTCTCTCTCTTTCTCTCCACGACATATCTCATTCTCTTTTTTTTTTTCTGATTCAATCTTCATCTTCTTCATCTTCTCCTTCACTCTCATATCTTTCTTTTCTCCCATCTCTGTTCCACCACGTCTCCTCCTCGTCTCACCACCACCACGTATCCTCCTCCTCTCACCACCACTGCGTCTCCTCCTCTTCTCACCACCACCGCGTCTCCTCCTCTTCTCACTACCACCGCGTCTCCTCCTCTACTTATCACCGGTACTCTCTGTCTCTCTTCGTTTCCCTCTGTCTCGCTCTCTACTCTCTGTTTGTTATCTCAATTTCTCTCTCTTTATCTCTGTTGAATCTTTTTTTTTGTTCTTGACAGCTTCGATTCACGGTGTACCGGATACCACAGCTTGGATCTGAGAACACGCCGGAGCTGAGCATGACGACCTGGGCAGAACAAGACAATGGATGAAGGTGGATGAAGATGAAGGCAGGCGGCTTGGCGGCTGAGTCTTTTTTTGTTTTTAGGTTTAGGTTTTTTTCTTTCTTTTTAGATTTGGTTTAGTGTAAACCAAATTGTATTGGTCTGAATTTATTTTTTAATTTCTGGTTTTAGTTTGTAAACCGGAAATAATTTGTAAACCAATTTACATTTATAAATATTTTTTTTGATATAAAACAATTACAATTTAATTTTCAATTATTTTATTTTTAATTATTATTATTTTTGATTTATTGAAAAATATCTATTATAGCACAAATATATGAATCTTAGTCAATTTATAACGAAAAAGTAATGCTATAGTTAAGTTATTAACAACATTCAAATATTGCTATTGTATCTGTATATTTCGTAGCATTTCAAAAATGCTATCGTAGAGTGGGTACCTACGATAGCTGCCGATGACATAGCATTTATGAATTCGCTATGAAAGGTCTATGATAGCATATTTTCTGCGCTAAGAATGTACATATTTCTTGTAGTGAAATTTCAATCGTGCCAAATACAACCTAAACTAATGATTAGTGCCAAATACGATCTCAACTCAATTATAATTCAAAGAAACTACTCGAACTTTTTAAAACGTGCTTAAATCTACATGGACTCTAACAGAAGTTAGTCAAATGTTAACAAGATAAAACGGTGTCGTTTTGATATACGAGAAAAGTGACAATTTCAACCCCAACAATTTTAGTCGTGCCAAATACTACCCAAACAAATGGTCAGTACCAAATACAACATCAACTCAATTATAATTAAAAAAACAGAATATCATCTGACTGTGTATTTCATATTGTTTTAAAACATGGGAAACAAACAACTAACGCTCAAGAAGACATGTGATGAATTGTATAAGTGACTGTGTATTTTCATATTTTAGTTATTGAACGGAAATAACTAGGGTCTCAAACCTCATTAGTCTTCATAATATGACTGTGTATTTTCATATTGTTTTTATGGTACACGGATATCATTTTTAATTTTTCAAGAGTAATTTATTAATCACCTATTTCCATGGATTAACCCCTATAAAATCTGTATTTTCTTGACAAACGGGAATAACTAAGGTCTCAAATCTCTTTTATCTTCATCATATATATGACAATGCACGATGAAGCTATGCAATAAAATAAAAATATTATATATTTTTTATTTATCATCAAATATGTAGGTTAACTAACTCCTACAAAAATATCGAGTTTTCTGATAAATATTATATACTGAAGTTTAGGCTCTTTCTTGTTGATTAATATACCTAATCACATTCTAAATTTATATAAATGTATGTTCAAGTTTTTTTTATGGTGCATGGACATCGTTTTTAATTTTTAAAGAGTAATTGAATAATTACCTAATTCTGTGGACTAAGCCTTATAAAATTTGTATTTTCTTGAAAAACAGAAATAACTAAGGTCTCAAACCTCTTTAGTCTTAATCATATGACAGTGCATGATTAAGATATGCAATAAAATAAAAATATCATATTTTCTAATTTATCTTCAAATATGCGGGTTAACACCTACGAAAATATCAATTTTTTTGATAAATATAATATACTGAAGTTTAGGCTCTTTATTGTTGATTAATATACCTAATCACATTATAAATTAATATTAATGTCTTTTCAATTTTTTAATGGTACTTGGACATTTTGTTTTTAATTTTTAAGGAGTAATTTAATAATCACATAATTCCTCGGACTAATCCCTATAAAATCTGAATTTTCTTGAAAATCATGAATACCTAAGATCTCAAACCTCTTTAGTCTTAATCATACGACAATGCACGGTGAAGCTATGCAAGAAAATATAAATATTATATTTTCTAATTTATCATCAAATACGTGGGTTAACACCTACGAAAATATCAATTTTTTTGATAAATATAATTCACAAAAGTTTAGGCTCTACATTATAAATTTATATTAATGTCTTTCCAATTTTTTTATGGTACATGGACATTGTTTTTAATTTTGTAAGAGTAATTTAATAATCTCCTAATTTCTCGGACTAAGTCCTAAACAATTTGTATTTTCTTGACAAACAAGAATAACTAAGATATCAAACTTCTTTAGTCTTGATCATATGACAGTGCATTATGAAAGTATGCAATAAAATAAAAATATCATATTTTTAATTTATAATAAAAAATGTGGGTGTTAATTTACGAAAATATCGAGTTTTCTGATAAGTATTATATACTGAAGTACATGCTCTTTATTGTTGATTAAAATACCTAACCACATTCTAGATTTATATAAATATATGTTCAAGTTGTTTTTGTGATACATGGACATCGCTTTTAATTTTTAAAGAGTAATTTAATAATCACCTAATTTTACGGATTAATCCCTATAAAATATTTATTTTTTGAAAAACGGGAATAACTAAGTTGTCCAACCTATTTAGTCTTCATAATATGACTGTGCATAATGAAGCTATGCGATAAAATAAAAATATCATATTTTCTAATTTATCATCAAATATGTGGATTAACACCTACGAAAATATCAATTTTCTAATAAATATAATATATTGCAGTTTAGGCTCTTTCTTGTTTATTAATATACCTAATCAAATAAAAAAATTATATTAATGTCATTTCAATTTTTTATGGTACTTGGACATTGTTTTAATTTTTAAAGAGTAATTTAATAATCACTTAATTTCTCTATAAAATCTGTATTTTCTTGACAAACGAGAATAATTCAGGTCTAAAACCTCTTTATTCTTAATCATATGACAGTGCATAATGAAGCTATGAAATAAAATAAAAATATCATACTTTTTAATTTACCTTCAAATATGTGGCTTAACCCCTACGAAAATATCGAGTTTTTTTATAAATATTATATACTGAAGTTTATGCTCTTTATTGTTGAATAAAATACCTAATCACATTCTAAATTTATATATAAATATATGTTCAAGTTGCTTTTGTGGTACATGGACATCGCTTTTAATTTTTAAAGAGTAATTTAATAATCACCTAATTTTGCGGATTAATTCCAATAAAATATTTATTTTTTTGAAAAACGAGAATAACTAAGGTTTCAAACATCTTTAATAACGTCATCTTCACGAGGATAACTAACACTACAAAGTAAGTAGTAAGCAAATGAAAACCATGTATACAAAACTCATGTTACACCACAAAAAAAAAGGTTAGATTCAAATCCAAACAAGTCTAAGAGACTGACCCTTCCCATAAAGTTGATAAGCGTAGATGCAAACTTCTCAGGGTCAGCGGCTCTAACAAAATGCCTTGATATTTGAACCATGTCCTGCAAAATTCATATAGAAAATAAGTCATTTATTGAAAAAAAAAAATGAATGTAAGAGTTTATAACCAAGAAGATTACAAGTTCAGGACACTCGGTGTAAAGATAATCATGAACATTTTATAACAGCACAAAATATATTATAGTGATGACAGAATAATTCTGAGTTAATGCTTTTTACCCAATTCGAATCATTTCGTATACGGTATTATCAAAAAACGACAACTAGTATGTCGTTTCAGTAAGAATCGCACAAGAATTTTGACGGTTTTACCCTCAAAACCTTCCGTTGTGGTTAACTAATCCCAAACACACCGCTCCCTCACTCGCTTCGCTTCGTCTTCCCTCCTTCCTCGATTCAAAATTCCAAAATCCGATCCACTCTCTCACTTAGGGTTTCTCCTCCCCCCGCCTCCACCATGAGCTCCGTCACGGTTCTCGGCGAAGATAATTATTCTCCTCAAGGTTCGAATTTAAGTTCTCACTTCTTCGCATTTTCAGTTTCTCTTTGTAATTTATGAGAAGCTGACTGCTCGCATCTCGCGAGACTTTTCGTATTTTGCCGCTTTTTCGATCAAATTCGAAGACTTTGTGTACAGACTTTGCTATTAAATATATATATATTTCCGTTCGAATCTGATTCGCGATGCCTTTTCTTTTGAATTGAAATTTAGGGTTTTTGAATCTGTTTCGGTGAGTTATTAGCTTTGAATCTAGTGTTAGGGGTTTTGCTAACACAGTGGTGAAATTTTCGCAGAGGTTCGTATTTGTAATGAATCTTTGATGAGCAGTGCACAGAGGAGAAAACTGGCGGATATTAGCAATTTTGAGGGTCAAGCAGAGCAAATGAACAGAGAAGAGACGCAGCAGCAGCAGCAGCAAAATATGCTCTTCTCTTCTAAAGAATATGCTGAGAAGCTTCAAAAGGCATTGTCTTTTCAATTTGATTGTGTTTGTGGAAGACTGTTATTTTGCTGATAACGTTGTTTTATGGTACTCTTTGCAGGAGAACATGACATTGATGAAAGCTCTAGCACACAGAAAGTAACCATCTTTATCTTTAGAATATGTTGGTTTGTGAGTTTGATGAGGTTTGTTTTTTAGTGGTGATGTTTGTTTTTGTTTGTGTGTTGATGCAGTAAAATTATTGAGGTGAGTGGTGTTGAGTTTCAGAAACTGAGGATTAACTTACGGAATGTGCAGGAAAAGAATTTGCAGCTTGCACAGGCAAACAGTCAGATGTTAGCGGTGTGTTTCCCATCTTTCTATGCTTGCGGGTTTGAGATGATTACTAGATTATTTGAAATACTATATCTAAGTTTGGCTTCTCTGTCTTTTCTTTTTCCTGGCAGGAACTCAATACAAACAGAGACAGGGTATTCTTTTCTGGAACTGAAGTTGAGCTATATGATGCTTTTTTATATCATTATGTTACAACTTCTTCTATCAACTGACACTGTATGCACATTTTCAGCTCAAGCTACTTCAGCATGAACTTGTCTGCAAGAATGTATTACTCGAAGCCAAGAAAATGCGGACTGAGGCAAGCTACTTCATTGTTCTGTATGTTTACGCTGACTGTGTTATCTGGAAAAAGGTATAAACTTGAGAATTTGTCACCTTATTTCTTCCAGGAGCAAGGACTTTCATCTACAAATAACGCTTCAGAAGATAAGGTGCTAACTCGAATTTTCCGTTACATTTCATGAACCGGAGAAAAATTCATATAGGAAATTGTTTTCACAATATTTGCCTTTGTTGTCGACTTCGAGTTTCCATCAAACGTTTCTGATGGGCATTGTCAACCTTTTCAGGCGCATGACATGAATCTCAAAGATAACAAGAGAAAGCGAACGTCAAGGATAAAACGTAAACTGTTTATCATATCTACATTGTTGATTCTAATTTATTTTTTTATTTTTTTTGCATACTTACCCTATATTGTTTCATTTTCAGCCTCAGAAAGCTCCATCGCTAAGCCAATACATGTTGATGAGAACGCCAACAGTAAAAGGTGAATATCTGCTTCATGTATTCTGTGAAAGCTTTTGGCAGTCAAGTAAACCTTAATTGGTATTGTTCGGTTGTAGGAGAGTTTCTGGAGTCATAGGTACTACTGTTATCCCCGAAGTAACCTGTCAGACTGAAGATGACACTGAAAAGGGGGGTTTCTCTCAAGGAGCAAACCAAATTGCTGACACTATTGTCAACAAGAAGTTTGTTCTGGATGCAGCTAACCCGGTAAAAGACAGTGTGCAAAGCAAGAGGTTCTTATATTCAGTCCGACAATTACATATTTTTATCAGTTTCTGTTGCCAAACAAGTAAAAGACAAGAAATCTTATTTGTGCTTCGATTCCTTTATCTGATTATTTTGTCATAGGCAATGTGTACGAAGGAAATCTACCAGATTTGATGTTCAAGAAACTGAACAAACGGATACAGTGCTTGAGATGGATGATGCCAACGGAACTAAAGAAACCGCAAGGTTTGTTATCTAGTTTTTTTTTCTGTCTTTTTCCCAAATTCATTACCTATGCTGTTGCATACTCTGAATGGACAATAACGTTTTACACTGACATTGTCTCCGTATGGAGCAGGATTTGTTTGAAAAGACGGTCTGCTCGGTTAAGGCCCGAAGAAGCTGAACCATGTAAAAGCTTCCATGAGAGAGACGATCTCAAGGAGGCAATCAAGGGAAGAAGGTTTGTAACAGCTTGAATAACGTCCTGTTTACAAGTAGCATCCCTTATAGATGTCACTTTAAACAATGCATTAGAGGTCACTAATGTCTTGTATTACTGGGCAGAGTCTCTTCAAAACAACAGCCCTCAAGGTTTGATTTCCAAGAACCAGAAGCGACGGGAACCTTGAATGCTGCTGATGCAGGGTTTGTTGAAATATTTCGTTTTAGTTTCTCTATCCCGTTGATTGATAGCATATAACTAAGTTAGCTAAAACTACTTGCATTTTCTCTCTTGGATAACACTATAACCACTTGTTGAATACATGTTTTGTGTGAAAGCTTTTGGCAGTCAAGTAAACCTTTATTGGTATTGTTTGTTTTGTAGGAGAGTTTCTGGAGTCAGAAATACTACTGTTACTCCGGAAGTAACCTGTGTCAGACTGAAGATGACACTGAAAAAGAGGTTGTCTCTCAAGGGACAAACCAAATTGTTGACAATATTGTCAATAAGAAAATTGTTCTTGATGCAGCTAACCCGGTAAAAGACGGTGTGCATAGCAAGAGGTTCTTATACTCAGCCCGACAATTACATTTCTTATCAGTTTCTGTTGCAAAACAATGGGAAGATAAGAATGTCCTGTTTGTGATTCGATTCCTTTGTCTGGTTGTTTTTTCATAGGCAGTGTGTGGGAAGGAAATCTACCAGGTTTGATGTGCAAGTAGCTGAACAAACAGAAACAGTGCTTGGGATGGAGGATGCCAAAGAAACTAAAGAAACCGCAAGGTTTGTTAGTTAGTGTTAATTATTTTGTCCTCTTTCCACTTCAATCACCTAACTCTGAGTTACAACAGTGTATCACTCTGACACTCTCTCCGTTTCCAGCAGGCTTTCTTTGAGAAGAGGGTCAGCTCGGTTAAGGCCCAAAGAAGCTGAACCATGTAAAAACTTCCATGAGAGAGACGAAGTCAAGGAGACGATCAAGAGTAGAAGGTTTGTAACAGCTTGAATAACCTCCTATTTACTGGTAGTATCCTTCTAGATGTCACTAAAAACAATGCATTAGAGGTCACTAATTTCTTGTATTAATGGGCAGAGTCTCTTCAAAACAACAGTCTGCAACGTTTGATTTCCAAGAACCGGAAGTGACTGAAACCTTGAGTGCTGTTGATGCAAGGTTTGTTGAAACATACCGTTTTTAGAAAACTAAGTTAGCCAAATCCACTTGCGTTTGTTAGTGACATTGAGACTTCCTGCATTTCCAGTTTTCCACTGATGAGCTTTGAGTCTCAATCATGTAATGTGAGTGTTTATTATCTTTGTGGTGTACTCGTCAGGGTCACAGCGAGAAGGCAATCAACAAAGGGTAAATCTAAAACAGGTTCAGAAACTAGTGGAGCCATCAAAGAGTGCGATCTTTTATCATCGACGGTTTCTCAGGAGGACATTAAAAGAGAATCAAAGAACAAGCCTAAACTTGAGGAAACCGGAGGAATGATGAGAAGAACATCTATGAGAAGAACATCAAGACATGCAGCAGAGAAAGTCCAATCATACAGAGAAGTCTCACTTAAAGTGAAGTTGCGGCGAGACTGCTGAATCCCTCTTGGCCTCTTGTGTTCATAATATGCAAAAGATTGTTGTTCAGAAGCTTACTTCATGCTTTTGTATATTCAAGTCAAAGGTTATCTTTGACTTCGTCTTCTTGTTAAAACGATTGTGTAAGCTAGAAAATCTACTTTTCTAATTGGTGTGTGCATTAGTCAGACTAAGTGACTAAATCTGGTACTGTTTTTCATTTCTTGTTTCTCCGACAATCGAAGTCCAACCCCTTTGATTCGATGACAATCTCTTTCCTAGTTAAATTATGAATTACATATTAGCGTACTTATATTCATTTCTGCCTGTCAATGTAAGAGTGATTTTAAAAGTTGGCTTCCTTTTTTTATAATATTACTTCATAAAAATGAATAAATACTATTATGTTTAAACTATTTATTTGTATTGTGTGTGTATTTAAGCTGCGGCTACATTATTATATTCTCCTGATTTTGTAAGAGTTATTCAAAATATATAGCCAAGTTGTTTCTTTACGAAATATTACTATATAATTTTGTAATATCACATATTTTAAAAACTTATTTACGTGTTATGTATTAATAATATCAATCTCAGTTAATGTCAAAAATTCTGTGGTTTCTTTCTAAAAATTACATTAGTTAAAAACAGATGATTAAATGTATAAAGAGATGTCTTTTCATAAATAGTGAAAGTTTTATCTTTTCAATTAAACATTGCATTTTCTTTTAAAAAGGTATAAAGATGTGTTTTTTCATAAAACTGTATTTTCATGTTACAAAATACAGAACTATAAAAAATATTATATATATATATATATATTATCATAATTTTTCATAATTTTAAAAAGTTAATTTTTGTCTGAATATTTGTGTTTTCATCTTAAAAATTGTATATGTTTTTTTAGAAATTCTCAAAATTCTGAGGATATATTTTTTTATCCTAAAATATGCATAATTTTTTAATGAATTATCTTTTAGTTTATTTTCATATTTATTAATAATAGCAAGTCTAATCAAAGTCTAATCAATGTTTAAAGGTTATGTTATTTCATTCTAAAAGTTACATTAGTTGAAAAGAGATGATTAAATTTATAAAGATGTGTCTTTTCATAAATATTGATAGGTTGTATCTTTTCAAGTGAACATAAATTTTTTTTGTCACAAATATATATTTTCAAAATAAAAATGATTAAAATAGACTTAAATATTTTATCAAAAATAAGTAAATATACATTAATACCCTTCTGTTTTAATTAATCCTACACCTTTTGTTATTTCATTCTAAAAGTTGCATTTTTTTTTGGTTGGGATGATAATAATGTTTACATTTAAATGGGCTGAGATTTTAGGTTAGGCCAGTACGAGCCCACCAGACTAAGCCGGAGTCGGTCTTTTAATAAATAAATAAATATCAGCCGTCTTCTTCATCCGAGTTAAAGATTGTTGCGAAAACAAAAAAAAAAGAGCCGTAGAGAATGCAGAACCAGAGAAAGAAGATTATGCGTCGCCCAAAGGTAATAAATTTCGTGAATCTCTCTTCACCTTGTTGATGTTTTCCCTGTTACTGGTCGTTGTCTATGTTTAGAGTTTGGGAAATTTTTGAGGAACTTTCTGTGTTTGGATCGAAATTGTTTGGTTGCTTTGGAACAATCTCTATGGTTAGGGTTATGAGATTTAATCATATTATGCTGCTGCTTGGTTGTTTATATGCAGATCCAGTATGATGCTTATGTACAGAGACAAATTGATCGGTTTAGGAGGAACCGACCATCGGGGTCGGGTCGCACGTGTAGTGATGGTGATGAATGTCCATATGCTCATCTGTAAGCTCTTTCTCAAACACTACTGCTACTGCTACTTTTGTGATTGTTTCTTGTCTGAATTTCTTTGTTTTTCTTTTTTTTTAAGTGATCCAAATCAAGCTGATGGTGGTGGTTTTGCTAGGAGAGAGTTTTCAAGCTGGAAACGAGGTTTTGGCAGTTCTGAACTGATTGGTGGTTGTCTTGGCTTTGATGGAAGAGGAGGATGGAATGCTGGTAAAGCGAATGCTGCTGGCTCGGGTAGGGCAAACGATGGTGTCTCAAGTTTGTATGGCAAGGCAAATTACTCTGGTGGAGGATCTAACTGGGGTGGTCAAAAGGATGGTGGTGGTGAGGGACCAAGCTTAGGTGATGGTGGTTCTTGCGGTGGAGGGGTAAACTGGGTTTTTAATTGCAAGAATGAAGAAACCAATGCTGGTCGAGGCTCGGATACCAACACTGTTGATGATGATGCATGGGGATACAAACCAAAATCTGGAGCGTTGTCATCAAGTGGCTCGCTCGTGGGGAACCTAGTGATCAATGGTAAATAAAAAGACTTGATTTCATTTTGTTAGTGACATTGAGACTTCCTGCATTTATGAGCTTAGAGTGTCTATGTAATGTGAGTGTTTATCTTTGTGATGTACTCGACAGGGTCACAACGAGAAGGCAATCAACAAAAGGTAAATCTAAAACAGCATCAGAAACTAGTGGGGCCATCAAAGTTATAGTGACTGACATGCAGCAGAAGAATTATGAGTAGAACATCAAGACATGCAGCAGAAAAAGTCCAATCATACAGAGAAGTCTCAATTAATGTCAAAAATTATGTTGTTTCATTCTAAATTACATTAGTTAAAAAGAGATGATTAAATGTATAAAGAAATGGTTAAATATATAAAGAGATCTTTTTCCATAATTAGTGAAAGGTTTGTATCTTTTCAACTAAACATTGCATTTGCTTTAAGAAGATTGTTAAAATGTATAAAGATGTGTTTTTTCATGAAACTGTATTTTTCATGTTAAAAAATACAGAATTGTAAAAAAAAAGTATAATATATAGATTTTATCATAATTTTTTAAAAGTACTTTTGTCTAAAGATGTGCTTTCATCTTAAAAACTGTATACGTTTTTAGAAATTCTAAAAATGCTGAGGATATATATTTTTTAATCCTAAAATATGGATAAATTTTTAATGAATTATTTTTTGTCTATTTTCATATTTATTAATAATAGCAAGTCTAATTAATGTTCAAATATTATGTTGTTTCATTCTAAAATTGAAAAGAGATGATTAAATGTATAAAGATGTGTGTTTTTCATAAATGTCGAAAGATTGTATCTTTTCAACTAAACATTCCGTTTTTTTGAAAGATTGTTAAAATATATAAAAATGTATCTTTTCATAAAACTGTATTTTCATGTTAAAAGTTACAGTATTGTAAAAAATTATAAAATATATAGTTTTATCATAAACGTTTTTATAATTTTTTACAAGTTTTTTTTTTTGTCTAAAGATGTGTGTTTTCATCTTAAAAACTGCATATGTTTTTCAAAAAAAAATATCTCAAAATGCTGATATATATTTTTATCCTAATCAATTTTAAAAGTAAAACCTCTTACAATCACAATCAACCAACCAATTGGTGTTTTGCCAAAAAAACCAAAAAATTAGTACAAGAAAACGTTAATGATTAATGAAAACAAGTACATAACGCAAGAAAACATTAATGATTATGAAATTGAAAACAATATTAACGCAAAGACTAACGCCATACTTAACGCAAGAAAACATTATTGATTATGAAAACAAGTACATAACGCAAGAAAAACATTAATGATTATGAAAACAAGTTTTCTAAACGCTGTGGCTTTTCAAGCCCTAAAAGACAATGGGACACTGGAGACGCGTTGTCGGCACAGCCGCAAGAGAGTTCGCCTTACGGACAGTGAGACCAGACCCTTCAACCGTGTCGACGTCTCTGGATTTCACGCCGTACGGTAATCTCCACGTGAAGCAGTGTAGAAGATGAGCCACAGCAAGCTCAAAAGCGTACAACCCGAGTTGCATACCCGGACACGATCTCCGACCCGACCCGAACGGAATGAACTCGAAACTGTTGCCTTTGAGATCCGGAGCACCAGGATCCAAAAACCTACTCGGGTTGAATATTTCCGGGTCGGACCACGAATCCGGGTCACGCCCGAGAGCGTAGGTGTTGACCATCACACGTGATCCCTTGGGAATGTAGTAACCGGCGACCTCCGCGTCTTCCACCGTCTCGTGGAGGAGGAGAGGGAACGGCGGGTGGAGCCGGAGAGTCTCCTTGAGTACACATTTTAGGAAAGTGAGCTTCTCGAGATGCTTGTCCTCCACGCTCCACCGCTCAAGCCCTACCACAGTCGCTAGCTCGTCATGGACCCGTTTCATGTTCTCGGGGCTCCGGAGTAGCTCCGTTAAGACCCACTCGATTGCTAGAGCCACCGCCTCTGTTCCTCCGAACATCACATCCTATATTTCATTTTAATTCTGTATTCAGAAACTTTTTCAAATATTTAACACTTCCTCTGTTTAAAATTTTGATAGATTATATTTTTTTTTTGTTACATAAGAAATAATTCATCTGTTTCATAATAAGTGTCATTTATAACCATTTTTGTGTATTTTTTGCTTGTTACACAAAAAGTACATTTTACAATTCCAATACTAATTATATTTACTTTAGCTGAAAATTAATTACAAACTTCATTGATTTTATAAATAATTCTATTTATCTAAAATACTATTGGTTAAAGACGTATAATTAATAACAACTTATATATATTTCAACCACTTTCTTAATCTGTATGAAAAATGTCAAAGTGACACTTATTCAGAAACGGAGGAAGAATGTTTTTTGTTTTATAATTTGTATTGTAGTTTGTAATTAATTTATCACTTTGACCAATAAATAAAATTCAAACAATAAGTGCTACATAATTTTAATAGTTAAATAAACATAAACTTGTACATTTTAACTAATTTTAAATTCGTGTGTAACCTTTTTAAAAATAAGGTATAATTTGAAACAAATGGAAAATGGAGTATAGTTTAGAGTTTACCATGATGATACCCTTTATGTTATCGAGATTGATTTTGGTCTCCGAGTCGTTGACTTTGACTTCTTCTTCGTAGAACGCAAGTAACTGGTCAACCATATCGGTCTCCCCGTCAACGTTGTCTTTTGTCTTCTTCTTGTGTAAGTGATCGTTGATGATTGATTCAATGAAACAGTCTAAAGACTTTCGGGCTTTCTCGACCCGTTTGTTTATCCCTTGCGGGTCGATCCAACTAACCCAGGAAGGGACGTAATCCGCTACATTAAACTCACCAAAGAGCTTAGAGAACTCTTGTATGATCTCAAGGAACTCCTCTAGTCTACCTTCGTCAGAAGTGGAAGACGAGGAGCCGAACGCTGCTCGGAACGTTATGTCTCTTGTCAATGAGAATGCGACTTTGCATACGTTTAGTGGTTTTCCGACATTGGAAGCTACTAAACGGACCGCTTTGTGGACCTCTTCGTCGACAGTGGCCCACGACTCGGCCCGTTTACGGCTAAAGAGCATCATGACGTAGAGTTTCCTCATCCTACGCCAGAATGGGCCATAATTGCAGAATGCTAGGTCGGATTGCCCGTAGGTCAAGTAACGGATTGCTATTGTGGTTGGACGGTTTGAGAAAACCTGGTCTTGAACTTGGAGGACTTGACGTGCGATTTGAGGAGAAGAAACTACGAAAAGATGGGAAAGTCCGAGGCGGAGGTGAAGTAATCCACCGTATGTGCGGCTGAGCTTGGTTAGGCCACGGTGGTTGAATTGGTTCATCATGAGTATATTGCCGATGATGGGTAAGCCTTTGGGACCGGGTGGGTATTGTTTTTGAAACCTTAACCGCCGCGAAAAGAGGTGCTTGAAAAGAAAAAGAAGTAGAGGGATAAGAAAAATGAGAGTCATTAGAGTCTACTACCTTTATGAAAGTTTTAGAGAATTGTGTGATTGATATCGACTTAACAACTACGTCAACCCTAATACTTCTCTTGTGTATATATTTTCTGTTATTTTAGTTAGAATTGGTCTTTATTAATGTGTTTCTTGTGACCATGATTGCCTGATTGGTACGAAGAACAACTAAATTAGGTGGAAGACGACATGGCGTAACTAGCTTGTATGGCATGCATGTATATTTGCATTTTCTCACAATATTTACTAAATTAGGTGGAAGACAAAAATTCTTTAGAAAGACTTTTTGTTGAAGAGGTACACTCAGCAAACCGAGTGTCTTTGGAAGTTCAAGACCAGAAACAAATAAAAACAAACTGGCCACTTTTCTATAAAAAAAAAGTAAATAGAAAATGTAGATTATGAAAGATTTGAACCTAAGTTTGACAGGGGAAGTTTGTAGTCTCGAGGTTATACCACTAGAGCAAAGAAGTTCTTTCTTCAACAATTTCTGATTTGTACTGGACTTCTCTATGAGATTGTGAAAATCTGTGACTGAAAGTTCTTTTATAATATATCGGCAGGAAGTCCATATTTCATTTGCTTTGCTTGGTCTAAAGGCCGACTATGAACCAAGTAATAGTGGGTTAAACATTGTTATAAGACGTGGAATCTTTTTCTCAAACATTGTAACCATGCACGTATGTGATAATATTGACACGTTAATTATCAGAGTTAAAATAAATATTATCAGTATGATGTTACTGTTGGATTTTTTCTCTAGCTATATATAGAGTTATCAAAGTCAAAAATATATTATCAATATGATGTTAGGACAACACATGATGGCCAATAAGGAAAATGATTAACAAAACCAACCAATGTAATAATTGAACCAACTTTGTCATGTGGACGTACGTAGACATAATAATGTACGACGGCTTTGGACGCATCTCATACGGTAGGTCAATATTTGTCATGTCGTAGAATGGCCCCTGAGAAATGATGGTGCTTTTGTTTGATAATGTATACAGTTATTATAGTGATAAAAAAAAAAACAATTATGATGATCAACTAAATGGGCTTACATCATACCAGGCCACCACATTAGTCCAATGGATCAACAAACAGGCCCATAAGGTTGTAAGCTCATTTTTTTCCTGCCATATTCATTCTTTTGTTCTCTTTATAAAATGAAACGTATCAGCATATATAACGTCACGCGCGTCTGTTCATCCAAAGAGAAGTAGCCGCGTTTATTGCCATTGGAGGAGAAACTGAGAAGTACTTGAAATAATTTATAATAATGAATTTGAACTTAGGAAGATCTTTTTCTTTAAGCGACAACTTTAGGTACAGAAAAGTACACATATATTATAAGCTCAATAAAAAAAACTAAATTTGTATTAATATGTACAGTACAACAAATTCATGTAACTGCTAGCTGAATCTGTAATTTTTCGAGACAAAGAAGCAAAAAAGCCTCCTTAAGTTCTACTCGAGCCTCTGTTTCTTGGTCGGCATGGGGCTCATCACCTCTTCGTCTCCGTTGACCGTCGAAAATTCCGGTATCGGCGGGATGTTGAGGTCAAACCCACGGTGATGATGATGGTTATGGCTGCCGCTGCTGACGTGGCTTGTAGACCCCACACCTTCGGAAACCGACACGCTGCTGCTTGCGCCGCCGCCGCCGTTCTTGCCTTCGTAGTGGCACCGTTTGTGGCCGCCGAGAGCTTGACCGGTCGCGAAAGACTTGTTACAGATCGAGCAAACGTGCGGTTTCCCACTTCCTCCTCCACCGCCGCCGTGGCTCGCGATGGTTGTTATCGCGGACGACGTGGACTTCTCATCTCCTCCGCTAGACTGAGACTGAGATGGGTTTTTCCGGTGACTCGCCTTGTGTCCACCGAGAGCCTGGTAAGAAGAAAACTCCTTGTCGCAGACGCTACACTTGTAGCTAGTAGTAGGAGAAGGAGCAAGAAGAGGCGGCGATGATGAAGATGAAGGCAGGTCAGTGAGGTCACGGGTTCGATTCCCGTCGCGAGCAAGAAGCATGAGACATAAAGCGATATATTCATCCTCTGTGAGACTACGGTCAAAGTCTGATCTTGACCGTTTAGATCGCTTGCCTTTGCAACCATGAAAGCCAACTGCAGAGTCTTGAAACAGAGTTGGAACCGGAGAAGCTAATCTTGGTGAAGTAAGAGCTTCTAATGCCATTATTATTACTATCTTTCTTTTTTGAGTTTGGTAAGACTAGTAAGAAGTGTTTTTAAGTTGAAGAAAGAAGAAACGGAAGTGTGAGTATATATAGCAGTAAAGTTACAAGAGAGGAAGTTGCGTGTGAAGAGATGAGAAAGTGTTGTTTTGAAGTCGATGTAATTTGGTTAACTATAATATTATGTGTGCGGACCAAACACATGAAATGAAAGTATCTAAAAAGTTTGGGCACGTTTGGTTTGACTTAGTAACACGTGTGTGGAAGTCGGCTAAGAAGACTTGTTCTCACATTCTTCCTCTTCTGCCGCCTTATTGTTTTGCATTCTTATCAGTTAAGAATATTCTAGTAGAGAGCTCACTTGCTGACCAAACAAGTGGATTGATATAAAGCCAAATCAAGTCGGCTACTAAACCACTCACTACTATCGAATGTCTATCTACTTATGATGTCTAAACTACATAAAACTATCTATATCTAAAGATAGTCAAGGAATCCCGGCAAATAGATTTATGATTTATTTATGTACTAAACCTCACTTAGTACATTTCTATTGATTTAAGCTTTTGCATACATAAAAAAACATACATGTCAATTTGTTTGTAGATTTTAGAAATGTTTCTTTAATTTCGGAGTTCTAACAATTAAACTAACATTTTAAAAGCAACGAATACATGACTTTAGCATTTCCATGCATTACTCAATTTTTATTTCACTATAAAATAATTTTACAATGGAGTTGCGTTACATTTTAATCCTAATCTATTTCGAGTGAGAAAATAAATAAAAATATTATTTTATTTATGAAGTAATCCCATTTTACATTATTATAAAGTAGAAAATATAGTAGAAATGTTTTTTTAACTCTACTCCATTCCAGAGTGAAAAAATGAAAAAGTTGAAAATAGTAATTATAGGTCTCCATTAATTTTGTATTGAACGTCGTCCATCAGTTACTCAGAGAAATCTATATTTTTTTAATTGTATGTGATACTATGGATCTACATGTTACTAAATCTAATCTATTAAAGCTGAAGTACAAAATAAAAATAACCCTTAGTTTTCCTCAAAAATTACAACACTATGCCACTGGCTTAATAAACTGTCGTTTTAAAATATTCTTTAACCACTTAAATAAATATTCGGCACTTAGCCTTAAACTAAATTGTATCTAATCCGAATGAACCAAATTAACTCATTCTCTCCAGCATGCCTTGGTTTATCTTGGTCTGCATAATCAAAACCAATTATATAAATATTTAACCACATAATTGTATAAATACTTAAACCACATAATTCGATCCAATATATATCATGCTTAAGAAATCGTGTAATATAACATTGTTGTGCTATCAAGAATTTTTTCTCATCTAAGCTATTAATTTCATGTATTGTTGTGTTTACTCGTTTTTTTTTAATGATCAATCGTACATATGGTTGTAACAGCATATATATTATGGTTTATCAAACATGTATTAGATGTTATAATCTATTAAAAATACTTAGTTAGGTTAGTTAGTAACTTAGTATCATAAGATATTATAGTTAGTATCATTAGATATTATCGGTGCAGAAAATCAAAACTAATAATTATTATTTTCCTAAACTCAATAATATTCCAAAAACGTTTTCTAATTCCACGCACTCATCATAAATAGAACAATATCAAGCAACTATAAAAATCCAGAGATCCTGTTTCAAAACTTGCAAATCATTGTATGCCTAATCTTTAAAACTAAGAAATTCGGTTATTCCTAACTCAATAGCATTCCATTTTTTTTCCTATTTCAAAGTAGTCATCATAACAAAAAGGAAATCAATTGGGTTTTTGACATTTCCATAATTTATAGTAACTTGAAACCATATATAGCACCAAAAATATAGGGACTTCCAAAACAAAACAATTCTATTCTTTTGAATATATTGACTATTATTTATATACAAAATCGGTGAATCGACTCCTATAAATAAGACCATACCTATCGTATGAAAGATCACACTATTCCAAGTAAAACTTAGTATGTGAAACCTCTTTGAAAATCACCTCTTTGAAAGATGTGAAACCTTACAAAACGGGATGGAAGTTTCAGGTCAAAGCATTAACTTGGAAGTAGTTCCATGTCTTGAGAAACATTGGAAATCATCTTATCAGATGAGAATATGAGTTTTGGTTACTATCGTTATGTTAATCATGTGTATTTTTTTATCGCACTTTGTTTATCTAATTTAACCATGTTCGATTTTGTTTTGCCATGTAAAAAGGGTACAAGATACATGCCTTGTGCAAGAAGACATACCCGGAAAGTAAGAGAATACTTCTACCCGTTGGACCATGGCGGAACATTCAGAATCTTACCCTCAGCCCTGCAACATGGATGTATAGATTAACCGACCATTTTTACAAAATTGTGTTATTGAAAAACACAACAATCACCAAATCCACCCTTAAGAATGATAAACTGTTTCTAAGTTCGGTAGATTTTCAGAGTGTTTTAAGTGGATCACTTAAACCATGTTTCTTACTGGTACTTTTTCAAATTAATACCAGCCATATTGATTTGAAAAAAAAACATTTACGACCACTCTGATTTTTTTACAGACGTGATGGGCCAAGTTATTGATTTGGGAGAGCTAAAAACAATTCAGTGTTCATGCAAACCAAGGATGAAACCTGAGTTTACTCTTGAAGACATCAAGTT